AGGCCCTCACCAGATGTGTGCCCTGGACTTTGGACTTCCCAGCCTCCAAAACTGTAGAAAAAAAATTTCATTCCTTTATAAATTATCCAGTGTCATCATTGACTGAGCTCCTACTGTATGTCGAGAGCTGTGGTGATCTCTGTTGGGGACAGAGGGTGAAGCGGACACATTCCCTGCCCTCAGATACCTTAGATTCCATAGAAGACACCTGGTGTAGAGCACACACTGTGCAGCAAAGGAGGTCGTATTGGGTAAGGATGCTAGCAGCTGCCATTTACTCAGCCCTACTGCACGCCAGGTACTTTATGTTGGTGCTGGTTCCCCATCTTACAGATGAGGAAAGTTCCTGCAGCCAGCAAATAGTGGAGGCGGGGTCTGCACACCAGCTGGGCTCTCTTCATTGTATTTAGAACTCCTGCCAGAGCCTGTGGTGGGGGAGACCTCAGGGGGCTCCCTGTCCATGGGGAGGGCTGATGGGCATCAGGTAAGTATAGTGCAGTGATGCTGATGCTCCCAGAACAGGGGCCATTGGATCTGAGAAATGCCTGGTGTTGAGGGATGAAGAGGAGTCTTTTCTGTGTCAGGGCCATCCATGGCAGAGGGAGCCCCCTCAGCAAGGAAGGGCAGTTACCAGAAATACGGCCCTCGGAGGGGAGGCTCAGCGCAAGGATGAGGGCCTTGAATGCCAGGTGAAGGGAGCCAGTGTTCAACTTTGGGGGCTCTTTGGCTGACGTTCTATTTGGCTTCTCTTGGAAACCCAGAAGAGGTGGCAGCCAGACCTCCGCACTCCCACACAGCACAATTGATGGGGGCTGAGCTGCATCTGCTCCCTGCGGGCAACACATCCATTCCCAGGCTCATTTGTGTCCCCATCCTGGTCCCTGTGGGCACCTGAGGGTACAACCTTGGGCTTAAACACTAGGGAGCCATTGAAGGTTTCGGAGCAGGGTGTGGCATGGGTCGAGCTGAGTGCATCAGGAAGGTTAATCTGGCTACAGTGTTTAGGGGGAGCAAGATGGGAAGAGAGTGGAGACCCACTTGGTCTGCTGCATGGCTGAGGGGATGGGGCCTGGGGAGAAGAGAAAAGAGAGTAGATATAACTTACATGTGGCTTGTGCTGTGTGCCTAAGCAGCCCTGGTGGCTTGGGGAGTGTTGCTGGGGGAATGGTGTCAGGTGTGAGTGAAGAGAGGTGAGGACAGCAGGCCTGGCATGGAGCTGGCTCTGCAGTCCCAGTAAATCTGTTGGCACCCAGTGTCTCTGTGGATAGCTTCTCCTGCTAAATGGCCCGAGCCCAGAGTGGCTGCCCTGGTGCTGGCAGGGGTAAAAGCTCTGTTTAGTGGCACCAAGGGGACTCAGTGGATAGAAATGGCTCTGCTCAGCCTTCTCATAAACTTGGGGCACTTAGGGGTCTCAGGCAGGCCTCCCCAGGGACCCAGACTGCTGGAGACCACCCCTGGGGGACAGTAAACTGGCCTTTTTACAGCGGGGGGCCTCTGTGTGTCTGCAGCCTGGAGACCCTGGAAGTTACGATGAGTCAGGGACACGTTTCCTTGGAAACATTTTTCCCAGCACCCCTCTCCCGGCGGCTGCTGGGGAGGGAGTGATTTGGATCTGACAGAAAGGCAAGGGTCTTTGGAAACCTTTT